TTCAGGTACCCTTTCAGCCACTTCAGTGGTTTCAGATCCCCACCTGAAATTCCTGAAATGACCTGAAGTGGTTGAAGCTTCTGAAAAGGGTTTCAGGTACCTCCATCCAACCATTTGGATGGGGTACCTGAAACCCCTTTCGGAAGCTTAAGCCACTTCAGCAGTTTCAGGTCCCCACCTGAAATTCTTGAAATGACCTGAAGTGGCTGAAGCTTTCGAAAGGGGTTTCAGGTACCCCCATCCAACCATTTTGATGGGGGTACCTGAAACCCCATTCAGAAACTTCAGCCACTTCAGCGGTTTCGGGTCCCCACCTGAAATTTCTGAAATGACATGAAGTGGCCGAAAAAACAAGCAGGAAAAAAAAAAAAACATAAAACTTGTCCTGCAAACCACCCGAAACTTCTGAAATGACCTGAAGTGTCTTTAGGCCATTTCAGTGGTTTCAGAATACTTAAGAATCTTTCATTTTGAAATTTCAAGTGGTCGTTAACCGCGAGTGGAGATGGGAGGTGGGTCTCTCACCAATTGGTCAAGACCAATATGGGGGTGTCACACTGAGAGGATGGTCATCCTATGTCAACTATCAAAGTATAGGTGACCGGACATTTAAACGCGATATGCGGGATTTGTTGATAAAACCTTATGACCCCGGCCCGCAAGCAACCCTCACAGAAATGGGAGACAAGGCCCACATGGCAAAAAGAGGTACATTTGTTCGTTTTGAAGAACAGAAAGAGGCAGTGCTCAGATGGTTCTCTCACGCGGCTCTTTTAGAATTGCAAAGCCTTAAAGTTAAGACAAATGTCGTATGGTCGACCTTAGAGGTACTTGCTTTTCTAAGCATTATTCTACGCACAGGCATCTTGCACTTAGCTGAAGACTTAAACAATGACAATTGGCTTCGTCTTTAGAGGAACAATGTGTTAAAAAAAGGAAAGGTAAGAGATGGAAGCAATAAAAGCGCATTATGGTAAGAACCCATTTTGGCATCACATTACTAAAACGACAGATTTAGACCTCCGTTCACTCAATGTAAATGGATTAGCAATAGCAGATGCAGAAAAAAGAAAAACATTGTTGGAACAATTGAGAGGCATGAGGGGTAGATCATGGCCTGATCTTAAATGCATCCAAGAAACACACCTTACAAACTCGCCCATCCATACCCGAGCCGACAACACAGTATAGCCCTTTGACAAGATTAGCGCCCCAGCTCCAAGAAGTGGCTCAGTCGGGGTAGCAATCTGGATACCACCTGATTCTAGAATACAAATAATTCAATGGATGACGGATAAAAAGCAGGGGCGTTGGATTAATGTTATCCTAAAGATACATTCATATATATGTATAATTAATGTATATGGTCCAAATGACATGAAAGATGAAGTTAGGTTTTTCCAAGATATTAGGAATCGGATCCCAGTTGGGATCCCACTAATTATGTTTTTCCAAGATATTAGGAATCGGATCCCAGTAGGGATCGCACTAATTATGGCAGGAGACTTCAATGCGGCCCCAGATAGATGGCTGGATCACTGGAAGATCCCCTCTCCATGTCCTCACTATATTGAAGAAGACGAAAATATCATACAAACCTTGTGCTAAAGCGAACGACTCTTTGACTCGTACCGAAGAACCTTTCCGTGAGAAAGGATATTCACATGCATATGTAATCAGGGTAATCGCTTTCAGTCTAGATTAAGAATTGATTTGATTCTTATGTCGAAAGATCTTGATAGTTCGCTATTAGAGGCTGCAATTTTCCCTCAAAGCCCATGGAGCGAAGCCGACCATAAAATGTGTACAGTCCTCCTATCCTGTAGTAAAAAAACAGACCAAGGGAAAGGATTCTATAAATTGAACACGTCCTTATTAGCACATAACCAATTTAGAAAATATTTAGCAGATGTATGGGTGTATTGGCACACGACGAGGGAGAGACAAGTTTCATATATCTCTTGGTTCAATAACGGTATGGTATTTCTTGCAAATAAATGCAACGAGTACTCAAAACTACAAGCAAATAACAAATACCTACAGGAAATACATATTCAAGAACAAATCCTAAACTATGAATCCCAGGACCAGTTGAATGAATCCTCCCAAACTATCAACATCCAGGAACTTAAGAACCAACATTTGTCATTTGCGCAATACTGTTGGCAAGGACAATTAATTAGAGGCAAATTGTCAAAATTCTCCTCAGAAGGACAGATGGATAAATCCTTCTTTGCAATGGCTCGGTCCCGGACCAAACGATCCTCAATAGAAAGTTTGTTTGACCATGAGTCTACTCGGGACCTTGAGGTATCTACTTCATCACCAGCAAGTTTAAAGGTAACTTATGAATTCTTCAAAAAATTGTTTCAGTCATCAAAAAATCCTACCCACTCACAAGAAGATGACCAAGTTATTCGCTCTTTTTTTGAACCACTTTTTCAGTTTATTACTCAAGAACAACGGGAATCTCTATGAAAACCGATAACAAAGGAAAACATCTGGACCTGCGTTGCGATTTGTACGGGCCCCCGTACGCGTACGAGAGTACGAATCGTACTCGTACGCTAGGGGTCCCGTACGAGTTGTTGTTGTTGGTTTTTTTTTTTTTTTTTTTTTTTTTTTTCCGGCATCTCCAAGAGACTCCATAAAGTCCAAAAACCTGAAAATCGGTTGAAAAAACTTGTTTATGGGGGCGGTATGGCAAAAAATGCCCCCGAACAGCCTTCGGGTGTCTGCTGCTGATTTCCTCACAGTCCAGGCTGGCATGGGGCCATGGCCTCATTTTTTTTATTGAGTTTGCTTGTTCTGCAGCTTTCGCCAGTCAGGCCTAGCCATTTTTTTTTTTTTTTTTTTTTTTTTTGGAGCTGCATTGGGTGTGGAGAGCTGTTGTGGTAGGCACTCCACCTGTTGCTGACATGCGAGGCAGGTAGAAGGCCAGCCTCCTTAGCATCATTTGTTGTTGACGTCGCAAACCCTCTACCAGCTGCTGACGTGAGTTGCAGGTTGTGTGGGGCCTGCCACATCAGCATCAATCAATTATTGCTATAATGGCGGGCCCTTTAGGCCTTCTTCCTAATGACGTGGCAGACCCTGTACTTGCTGCTGATGGGTGAGGCAGGTAGAGGGCCGACCATGTCAGCTAACATGGCAGACCCTGTACCTGTTGCTGACGTGGGAGGTAGGTGGATGGTCTGCCACATCACCATCTCTGATTGTTGAAATAGCAGGCCTTGTATGCCCTGTCCCTGCTGATGTGACAGACCTTGTTCTAACTGCTGATGGGACAGGCAGGTGGGCTAGGCATGTGAGCATCGCTGGAGGTCGAGGCACACCTGAAGTAGCTGCAGTTGCTGCAGGTAGCGGTGAAGAGCGGAAAAAGCGGGGGATATGGCATCTGAGAAGGCCAGCATAGAACTCGACTCCATCAAAGCGGATAACCAAGCTTTGGTCCACGATTTCATAGCGTTGAAAGGAGAGATTGAGAACCTAAAAAAGAACAATAAGCGGGGCTCGAAAGCTGTCACGGAGAAGAGTCCGCCTGTTGAACCGGCGACGTATGAAAGTCTGCTTGAATTGACTATAGTTGTTCTAGTGATACATTCAAAAGGAAAAAGATAGTTGTTGATTAGCCCCATACAACCTCTGCAGGGTGACATGGCAGACCCTCTACGCTCATGCAGTGGCAAGTTTCCATCGGAGTCGTACTCCTTCGTAGCATCCACCGCAGGGGCTTTGCCTTTTGCACGTTCGTCCCATGGCAGTGCACTGACGGGATTAGGATTAATAGTGAGAGCTACGACGGTGACAAATTTGTGTTCCCTGCCTCGCCCTGTCCTGTGAGCAACAGGGTTCCACAACCTGCTGGGGTGTGATGCTCTCCCCAACAGGCCTTGTGAGGAGCAGGGACGTAAAGCATTTGTTCCAGGGCGTTGGTGATCCTCCGCCTCTGGAATTGGTCTGGCTGCTGTAGTGCTTAGGAGGTTTGAGCCATAAAAGCCTGAGATGCCACCTGCCTGAAGTGGCAGGGCGTGCGGCTCGCGCAGTTGCTGCTCTTGCTCGTATGCCCCCTGCTGCAAACGCTGCTGCTCCTCCAACAGCTGTTGCTGTTGATCTTGATGTTGTTGGCGATGTTGCTGCTGCTGCTGCTGCTCACGTTGCTGTTGATGTTGTTGTTGCTGCTGCTGCTCATTCGTTGGTGCTGTTGCTGTTGCAGTTGTTGTTGATGCCGCTACTGTTCTTGTTGATCGACCTGCTGCTGCGTCTATGGTTGATGTCGTCGCTGCTGCTGCTTTTGTTGTGTATGGTGCTGCTGCTGCTGTTGCTGCTGCTGTTGCTGCCGTTGCTGTCGTTGTTGCTGTTGTTGCTGCTGTTGTTTCTGTTGCCGCCACTGTTGCTGTTGCTGGTGCCGTTGTGCTTGTCGTCGTTGTTCCGGCTGTTGCTGGTGGTGCTGCTACTGCCGCTGCTGTTGCTGTTGTTGCTATTGTTGTTGTTGCTGGTGGTGCAGTTGTACTTGTTGGTGGCGGTGCAGTTGCTGGTGGTGCTGCTACTGCTGCTGTTGTTGTTGTTGCTTCTGTTGTTGTTGTTGCTGGTGGTGCAGTTGCACTTATTGCCGCAACTGTTGCAGCTGTTGTTGCTGTTTCCGTTACTGGTGGTCGGGTGGCTGTTGTTGTTGCTGCTCTTAATGTTGCTGCTGCTGGTGTTGCTGCTCCTGCATGCTGTTGTTGCTCTTGCTGTTGTGTCGAATCCTGCCGCTGCTCCTCCAATCGCGTGCTTCTACGTGTGCCCTCCTTGTATGGAAGAATGTACTCCCTCCTTGTGTACGAGTCGTCTGAGTCAGATTTCTCAGACCTCCACATATCTTCTAATTCCTCTGCCTCGTCCGATGATTCTGTTGATGATGACTCATCATTCCATTCCCCATCCTCCCAATCCCTTAGTCTGCCTCTCTGTGCTATAGATGTGGCACCACCCCCACCTGTGGGTTGTGGCACAGATGTAGATCCAATTGCTGACCCCGTTAGTGTTCCATCTGCGCATTCATCCGCTGCAGCAGCTCCGTCGTCCTCATCGCCTGCATCTGTCTCAATATTCGTCAAGCCCAATCAGCCACTGTTATTCGTCGTCGTGCCCTGCACCCTTCCTTCATATCGGAGGTTCCAATGGACGTACACCAATTTCTCCACTCTCTCGTGCTCCAGCTTGTTGCGATCTTTGGTGTGCACGAGGGCCCATGAGCTCCAATTCCTCTCAGCCGGGGAGGAGGCTGTCCACATGCTGAGAACTCGTAGTGCCAATCGCTGCAAAGCTGGGTGTCCCCTCCCGTGATCCTCCCACCAATCCAATGCACTGTCCATCCTCCCACGACGCTGCACCTCTGGATCTCCGAAGATTCCTTGCTCCCTTTGGAATGCATACAAGGAATCAATACACTCCTGGTATTGCGGTGTCCCCTGACCACCCACAAGATGCTCAACAACACCCCGAAATTGGGTCATCAACGTCGGATCGCTAAACACTCCTCTGTCGCGCAACATGGGGTCAAGCAGTCTGGCAACTGCATGCACAGGACTAAGGAGCTGGTCCGTCCTGTTTGACACGACCTCCAACACTTCAGCACGTTGTCCCTCCATCAACGGAGCTGCAAGCACACAATTCTTCAACGCCACTGCTGCGTCGTAAACACGTGAGATGCAGTGCACATCACGATCAACCATCCGTAATACCGAGTACTCCCCCTCCATCAAATCGAACACCATCCGAATATCATTCCAGAAATGTGTGGACTGCACCAGCCTCTCGACAAAATACGCCTTGTCCCGAATGGTGTACGGCCACTGCATCTCCTCCCACTCCATGCTGTTCACCGTGTCTTTCACTTGCTTCTCTTTTTCCTTCAAACGCTCGAGCATGATAAAGTTGGTCCCAAATCTTGTTGCATTTGGCCTCTTAAGGACGGTCTTGCCATTCGCGGCGTGCTGTGAATCCTGAAGAACTTGACGACTTTGTTCGCATCCTCAACAATATTTTTTGCCCATCTCATGTTCCCCAGGTCATGTAAGAACAAGTCCATGCAGTGTGCGGTGCATGGGATCCAATATATATGCGAAAATTCTAGATCCTTGGCCAACGCCTCAACAACTGCCTTGTTGGATGAGAAGGAGTCAGTGCAAATGGCAGTTACCTGTCTATTCTCCCTCAGGAAGCTCTTCCACGACTGAAGCATTGCGACAGAGTTCTTGTCTTTCCTTTTCACATGATCACACTTGATGAAAACTGGTCTGTCTCTCCCCGCGAGGATGTAGTTCAACATAGGGCGACCACATATGTCTGTGGTGCCATCTGTGATGAGTGTACATCCCGTTTTCTCCCAGTCGACCTGTAGTTTAGCCTCTCGCTCCAAGTACGTCTCCTTCCTAGAGTCCAGAAGTTCTTCCCGCAATGCGTCATATGGGACGTGCTTCAACGGACAACGAGTTGCAGACTGAGGCCCGAAGCAGACTTCACAGAACTTCTTCCAATTGCTGCTCTTCGCCGCATTGAACGGTATGGCATTTTGTGCGAAGAGGTCCATGGCAGCCAAATCAATCTCCCGCTGGCGCGGATTGCGGACATATCGAACCATGGGCGTCTGCCTTAGTATCCTCGCAGGTGCCGGTCTGCTTGTGACCTCTGTTGCAGTTGCGCCCGCCATTGTCGCTGCCTCTCCACCCTGTTCCACATCTGCTCCACCTCCCACGTCATCACCGCCACAAATGGCAGGAAGATGGAGATCTTGAACTGTTTGTGTTGCAGCCTTATCCTCCCGCGACAACATCTCTGCCACGTCAGGTGACAACTCCACATTCGCAGCACGCAGCCTTCTGTAGATCGCCACGGTTACATTCGGGCACCGTGATCCCTGCCTCTTCTTCGTGAAGTGTTCAATCCCGCGTGCGCGGTTGCCAATGAACACAACTCCACACAAGAGGCACTTCATCTCCCTCCCGCCATGGCTTTTCGCCCCCCTTGAACTCCCGCGCGCCAACCAATTCCACACGTAGTGGTCTCCCGGCTTCCATGCGAGTTTCGGGTCCTCGTAGAAGTCCTCTGTCACGCTTCCCATTGCACCCCTCGACAACCCGCTTGCAGGTGCAGATGGCCTTGCCATTGCCACAACTGCACAACTGCAACTGTTGTTGCAAGTGCTGCAACAACTGTTGCTGCAAAAGATGCTGTAACAGATGCAGCTGCAGTTGCAACTCTTGCTGCAGCAAAGACTGTTGCTTGTGGCTTAGCCTGCCGCTGCGTCAGTCGCTGATGTGGCACTTGCTGCTGCGACTGTTGCTTGCAACTTTTGCTACAACAATCGCAGCAACTGCTGCCGCATAAGACGTGAGAGGGTCACTGCTGACGTGGTAAAAAAAAAAAAAGAAGGACCACGTGGGGCGGAGGTGGGGTCCTGTTGTTGAAAGCGGCACGTTTTGTGCCTGCAGTTCAAGCGGGACCAATGCGTGCGGAGTTGGCTGGCCCGCTGCTGTTCACGTGGTGGGTCTGTTGTTGACATGTCTCGCGTGCTGCTGTTGCAGCCGGTTTGCTGCTGACGTCATTCATCCGCTGATGCCGTGGAAGATCCGCTGCTGACGTCACCGGACTGCAACAGCAGCTAGCTGCTGCTGCAACTACCAAGTGTTGCAGGAACGTAGCTGCAACAGCAGCTACTGACGTCAGTGGCCTGCAACAAACATAGCAGCCACAGTGCCTACACACGTGGCTGGCCTCCTGCCGACGTCAGGGGCTCCTGTCGTGAAAGATCTGCCATTACCTGCAACAGATTAGAAGACAACCAGCACATGGGTCGGTAACAACTAGTTAGATTCACAGATTGATTGATTGATGGATTGATTTATTGTTTGATTGACCGAATGCAACATTGGCAGGCAAGTGTTGCAGCAACGTAGCTGCAACAACGCTAGCGTTAGATGGGCGCTAGTAGTAGTAGCGTCAGAGTAGTGCTGGAGGGAGATGGTTGGCGGAGGCCAGAGATACTTACCTGTGGCGCCATAGCTCCAACTTCATCTTCGAGGTACCTGCATCAAGGCGCCAACTTCACAGGTTAGTACCGGACTGAGAGAGGGAGAGAGAGAAAGTTATTCTTCTTCCTCTTCTAAGTCCACCATCTCTTCTCTACCCTCTCACTACCTGATTTCTCAGTATCTCCAGACTACAGAGAGAGAGACTTGTGACTTTGGACTTGGCGACAATTGGATTCATGTTCAACATTGGGATTCCACAGCTTGGCAATGTATTACTATGGTATCGACCTTGACCTTTCAGGGTTGTAGCAGCTACGACCTTGACCCTTTAGGAATCCTACAACTACGACTTCTAGAACTCCCTAAGAATTCTGTTCGACAGGTCTACAGATCGAACCCCTATCACCTACGGACCCTACGACGGTCTACCAACTGTTACAAATAGACAGGTCGTGGGTTCAACTCTCGAGGTCGACACAGGTACTATACACAGGTAGGGTATAGTTTTATTTAGTCCTTTGCATCACTTTGCGGATCCTTGGCTCCCACACATTGCCCGACTGGGCATGTAACACGCACATACACGAACAGACACACATACTGCACGTACAGACTCTTGCATGAACGGACATGACCCGCACACCCCCTGGATGAACAGATGTGACCACCACATTTGAATATTGCAACTGTTCGTCCAGGGGCACAACTATGACCTTTGACATTGACTTTTACTTTAGCTAGGATGTGACTTTTGACCCAGAGAACATGTCCTTTGATCTGCTTTCATGAGTTGGGCTCTGGGCGAGGGACCCTACTATGCTGCAATCGCCAAACAGGGTATGACTCGGGTAAAGGCCTTTTTATTTAGTCCTTTGCATCACTTTGCGGATCCTTGGCTCCCACATATTGTCCGACTGGGCATGTAACACGCACACACATAGACTTATCAAACCGAGCAACAAGCGGGAAACTCAGTAAGGCATTCATTCCGTGAGCAAAGCTCAGAAATCAGCTATGTGTCTTAGTTCGTGTTTTGGCAGGTCATTACACAGTCAATCAATCGATCAATCAATCAATCAATCAATCAATCAATCAACCAATCATTCAATCATTCAATCAATCAATCAATCAATCAATCAATCAATCAATCAAACAAACAAACAAACAATCATCCGAATGATTGATTGATTGATTGATTGATTGATTGATTGATTGATTGATTGGATGATTGGATGATTGATTGCTTTATGTTACATGCTGAGCCTGTACACAGGCCCCATTTGAGGGGCCCAACGGTTGCTGAGGGCCCCCCAGGCCACGTACCGTCCTACACGCGCCCTGGAGGCCCACAGCGGCCCTCCAGGCCCTAGGCAACACGTAGGTAGGTAGGTTTTCGTTTACTTACCCCTTTTCCTGTGTGTGTGTGCTGTCTTATTTTTGTCTGTTCAGGTGCAGTTTCGGACTTGCAGCCCCAAGGTCGGACCTTTGGACTGGGTACACCGGAGGCAGGCCCGAAACGAGGCCAGGCGCATTTTGGCACCAAACCGACCGGTACCGGCGTCGTTTCGGTCCTGCAGGACCCAAGACAACACCTTGGGCCAGGTGCACCGGTAGAAGGCCGTTTTTAGGCCAGGTGCATTTCTGCGCCATGCTGCAGCAGCAGCAAGGTCTGGACGTCCGGTAGGGACCCATACCACCTGGGCCGTTGTAGGCCACACGGCATCAGGTAGACCCGGCCGCCCAGCGCTACAAATAGCTGGGCAGCGGCTGGGCCAGGGACAGTTGGGGGTCGCCCACTTCTGAGCGTCATGCTGCTGGTTGGAGGCTGCGCTATGCTGCGCTGAGTAGCGGAGTAGGGAGTATAGGTTAGAGGAGGTAGGGAGTGGCGGAGGCCATACCTGCAGTCGGCGAGCTTACCTGGCGCCATAGCTGGGCTCCACGCGGTACCTGCACACAACAACGGACGAAGTCAGTTCAGTGACAGCTACCTGCAGGTGAGATAGCGAGGAGGGCTTCATCTTCTCTCCCTCCTCCATCTCTTTCTCGTCTTCTTCTTCTTTGAATCTGAGAGTGTGAGAGGTTATCAGTAGGGATTCAGGCTGGGGTCGTAACGGGCGCATTGCCCAGGATCTGATTCGACATTTATGAGACAGACATTGTTTAGAGACCATTTTGGACTTCGCCATTGCGATCTTGGTCTACTCTCTCTTGCCTCCTCCCTCCTTCGTCTGTCTCTCCCCCATCTCTCATCCGTGGTTTCTCCCCGTGTGTGTGTACGAAGGAGGGACCTTTCTTCCATGATTGCGGCCCCTCCTCTCTCTCTCCCATGTGTGATGTGTGATGGATGTCGGGTCAGTCCAGATCAGATCAGATCTTCTCTTTAAAGTCTTTCGCTGTGCCATTTTGTGCCATCTTGTATGTATCGGAATGTACATTGCTTGTTGATGCTGCGCTGATCTCGCATTGTCCATTTCAGTCCTTTTCATCACATTGCGGATCCTTGGTATACTGCGCATTGCTCCCCTGAGCATGCGTCATTTACTTGATGAATCCATCAATAAAGCATCGACCTTGATTGATCGATTGGTAAAAAAAAAAAAAAAAAAAAAAGCAGAGGAAAACGAGGTGCAATCAGACTGGCTCCAAACTTCAACTCGCATTCATACAGACAGATGGCAAACAACTCTGGCGCTGTGCGCCCACTCAAAGCTCAGAGATATAAAAGTCAAAACTCAGTTCAGATGCAAACTCGTCTCAACAGGCTATGGCGCATCAGCGCTGTTCACCCCAACTCTTGTCTGTACACTCTCGCTGTCTGAAGATCACCCTGAATACACACACACGCAGCTCTCTGACACACACTAACTGCTAACCTGTCGCGTCTTTGGCCACACTACTCTACTAACACTACTACTCCTGCTCTTGCCCTCTCCGTCTTCAGGCCCACTGCAGACCACCTTGCACAAGCTGCTTCTGTGTTACATACGACCTTGTACTACCTTGGCTTGTTGCCATACTTGCGGTGCGTGATGACTCGGTCAACTTCCTGATGTCCGTCCATAGAAGGCGGATCCTGTGAT